AAAGAGAAAAGAAGATGATGACCGCAACAACGCCATCTCTCTCTCTCTCTCTCTCTGAGGCACCATCACGTCATTATTACTCCGCAGTCGACCACCAAGTCGTCAACAACACAAGACTTAGGCACAAGCACCAGGGTTGGCTAAGAGGTAACCCTCCACCGCCTTCAACAGTCTTGCGGTGCCTTCCTTCATCTTCTCCACCTCCTCGCCGCCGACCGGCTTGTCGTCGAGCGTGTCGTACTCCATCTTTATCTTCACGGCGCAGGCGTCATCGCTCAACGCTTCATATCTGTACTCGAAGGTGATCGACTTGAGCGTCAGCCCGACGTAGCCTCCTTCGATCGTCTTGTACCTCAGCGTGTGGCTTGCATGATCCAGCACTTCCACATGATCCTTCACGAAGCTCAGCGGCTTCGCAGCTGCATGCAGTTCCACGCACAGGATTCCCACAACCGGTTAGCAGACCCATGCACGTCTCCTATCAGAACTATACATGCCGAAAGTTCTCATGGGGTCATTTCAAACCTGGAGTGAAGCGGAAGATCTTTGTGCTGCCGGCTTCACCGTCTCCGATGAGTTCCACGCTCGCGAAGTACTCGGGAACGATTTTGGGGTACATGACGTGGTCCTCGCAGGCGGCCGCCTTCCACATCCGGTGGACACTGACGCCGAACGTCAGCTCCAAGTTGCAGCAACCGGCGACCATGTCGTCGAGCGGTGCAGGTGGAGAAAGGTCTATGAGCCGATGATGGCTTGGTCGATGCAAGGAGAAGTCTGGCTGTGTGCATATATAGAGAGGAGTGGTTGGTGAGGAAGATGGCGGGTCATCGGTGACGTCTGCGTGGGCTTTGAACATGTGATGAGAAGCCCAAGTACCAGTCAACCCTCATCGAGAAGTTGGAAGAACTGAGACCGACGAGACACCATGAGAGCTCAGCGGTGGTGAATTGGTCTTCTCTCAGTTGTCAGCATGTCCACAAACAGTTTGACTAGTCTCCCAAGTTCATGTTTCTTGACATAAATCGTCGATGGTGTAAGTCTATCAACGTTGATCCAACGTTCTGCCGGCAAACCATGGAACTCCTTGGCAGATTCTCCAAGAACATGTTAGCTGTTGACTGCAAGCCACAGAAGGTCACTATCTGTCTCTGCAAGAAGCCATTGATGATCATACTCTTCCACCAACCCCACTATTATTTTTTTCCAAACGAAAATTTAAATATGACTTATGAAAATGAATATATTTGGTTTCCGACAAAATCTATATGTTATTTATGAAAATGAATATATTCTGCTCTCAAAAAAACAAAAAAGAGAGCACAATAGATCAATAAACTCTGATGGCCAAAACTCCCTGGAATAAATGGTGCTAGCAAAATTTGTCAATCAATTTTCTCACTTTATTTTCCTCCCTAAATAAATAGTTAAAACTTTTAGTTTGGGACTTTTACAGTAAATAGTCCCATTTTCTAAAAAATATAAAATTCTTCAATGAAATATTTAGTATTATTATGTCATGATGTATCTTTAAGGATTTCGAAAGATATAGATGCTTTACGAGAAAATTCATATTCATTAAATGTCTAATTAGACTAGAAAGAATATTCTTATGGACCAATTCATAGTCAAAACTTTTAGTTTCAGGCTTTTACAATAAATAGTCTCATTTTCTAAAAAATCTAAAATTCTTTGACAAAATATTTAGTATTATTATGTTGTGATATAGACGCTCTACTAGAAAATTCATATTCATTAAATGTCTAATTAGACTAGAAAGAATATTCTTACGGAGTAATTCATAGTTAAAACTTTTAGATTCAGGCTTTTATAGTAAATAGTCCTATTTTCTAAAAGATCTAAAATTCTTTGACGAACTATTTAGCATTATTATGTCGTGATATAGACGCTTTACGAGAAAATCCATATTCGTTAAATGTCTGGTTAGACTAGAAAGAATATTCTTTAGAAAAAATACATCAAAGACTTTTTCCAATCCAAACAAGTCCTGCAATCTGTGTATTCAACCTAACACCTCATTGTAGACTACTTAATTTCCATCTTTATCAGATTTAGTAAATGTCTTTCTCATACCCTTAGCACCATTTAGTGCCCTTTGATTTTTCTGGGTGCCTTTTGGCACAATAACTCCATCTGAGAGTGACAAATGAAATATAAGGGAAATTTGAGTTCTCGACCTAAGAGAAGAGACTTCAAATACACAACATCGCGATTGATGCTTTAGCGAGATTTCGAACAATTTATTTCTTGATCCTCCAAAACTTCAAACTAAGAAGCTCGTCTATTTTTTCTAGTATATATAGGTTTATTTTCTTAAAACAAATGCAAGTTGACTTCACATTCTAAAGTACAACAAATTGTGTCTTCATCGCTGGAAACCTAAAAGAAAGTCATCTATCCTCAAAACCAAAAGCAAGTAGGTACTTTACAGCAAGAGAAAGTTGACTGAGGTAGAATAGTATAATAAAAGATGCTCTTCCAAATCTTTGTTTAAGGTTTTTGACTATTTGTGTAATGTAGTCAACAATTGTATTGTTAATCTTGAAATATTGATTGTTTCAAGATCTCTATCTATAATGTGTATTTTTGGCGGCTTTTATGGAGCACTTGTCATAATATGAAAATAAAGATAATAATTTTCTTTTTTTGTTTCTTATCTGTATGTGACCAAATAGGTTGGGCATAGGTCTAGAATACCTATTGGAAATAAATAAATATATTATTTATAATAAACTATTAGTATTTTGCATCTATGATATATAATTTCAGGTTTTTATCCAGGAGCTTTGTTTGATCATTAGGTATCATTGAGATAATATATATTTAAGTGTTAAACAATAAAGAAACAATATACATAAAAAGTTTATGTTATTTAAATAAAAATTTTGAGCAAGAAGAGTTCACTATAAAAATAAAAATAAAAAAATATTTTTCAATTATGAATAATTTTGTGATCTCAAACAAAATGCAAAATAAAGAAAAATTATTCAAAATATCATAAACATGTGTTAAGGAGGTTTATGGATGTTATAAGTAGAAAATGTTAGACATTTGGTTTTAGTGGTGTGTATATATCAAGGTATGCAATTTCGAATAATACCGTCCAGTACAAGCAATACGTACCGATCCGTCAGTTTACCAGTACACGGACCACCCGTTACCGAGTGAAACGAATATATATATATATATATATATATATATATATATATATATATATATATATATATATA